AACCGCTCCTCTGTTTCTTTCATTACCTGAAACATACATTACGTATAACGTTTCAAATCCTGTGTTCTGTCTAATTCTTGATCCGTTGTGTCCAACTCCATCGAGGGCATTCATTCATATCTTGTGCATAATGTTTCAAAGTTTTCGTGTTTCTTTCCGTGGATTTGATCGGTATTTCAGGTTCTTGGATTTGGTTGGGCGGGTTTGTTCCGGAAACATCTGGTCGAGCCCGGTGAAATGTGGTGGCCGAGCAACCTTGTCCAAGTCTCTCTCTTCAGGTACTTGCAATTTTCACTTTCTCCACACAGAAAAATGTCAGCTTGCTCTGTTTCTTAACCTTCTCATATCGATATTTTATCCGGAAATCTCAGCGCCTTGCACGAGAAAGAGAAGAAGAAGAAAGGGGGAACAACTCGAACTCAATTCTTCCTCATAGTCCTCGTCGCCAGTTTCGCTTACTATGTAGTTCCAGGCTATCTATTCACAATGTTGACATCCATATCTTGGGTATGTTTGTTCGGATCCAAATCGATTCTGGTAAACCAGCTCGGTTCAGGTGAACACGGACTCGGTATAGGAGCCATTGGTATCGACTGGGCCACTATCGCTTCTTACCTCGGTTCCCCTCTCGCCAGTCCATTGTTTGCCACTGTCAATATAGCCATCGGGTTCGTTTTGATCATGTATGTTGCCTCGCCGATCTGGTACTGGCTTAATATCTATAGAGCCAAGACCTTTCCTATATTCTCCAGCAAGCTTTTCATGGCCAATGGCTTGAGCTATGACGTTCTGAGCATCATCGATAAGAAGTTCGAGCTCGACCGTGAGGTTTACGCAAAGACAGGGCCTATACATATGAGCACCTTTTTTGCCATGACTTACGGTCTAGGTTTTGCGACTCTATCCGCGACTATCGTTCACGTTTTTCTCTTCAACGGCCGGTAAAAACCCATCTTTTCCATTTAAATCACACGCAAACACGATCCGTTGTTCCATATTTTTAGGGTTTTCAAATCTCTGCAGTGATCTATGGAAGCAGACCAGAGGAGCTTTTCAGAGGAACAAGAAAATGGATATACATACAAAGATCATGAAGAAGAATTATAAAGAAGTTCCGATGTGGTGGTTTCTCGTCATCCTCGTCCTCAACATAGCTCTGATAATATTCATATCGATTCATTACAACGCTACCGTGCAACTTCCATGGTGGGGAGTGCTTCTTGCTTGCGCTATCGCCGTTTTTTTCACGCCTCTTATCGGCGTTATAGCCGCCACAACTAACCAGGTACATACATATATATAGAATATCTGTATCTATCCATTGAAAGGCACTGACATGCGAGAATTTCTATCTTCCAGGCACCGGGTTTGAACATCATTACAGAGTATGTCATAGGTTATATCTACCCAGAACGTCCAGTTGCCAACATGTGCTTCAAGGTTTACGGATACATAAGCATGACTCAGGCTTTAACGTTCATCTCCGACTTCAAGCTCGGGCATTACATGAAGATTCCTCCAAGAACCATGTTCATGGCACAGGTTCTGATACGGTTTCGTTTTTCCTCCATTTTTTTTTGTTTCTTTCAGACAAGAAGAGTTCAGTTCAGAACTGAAACTAAGAATGCTCTGTGATAACTTTGTTTCAGGTGGTGGGAACCATTGTAGCTGTTGTTGTTTACTCTGCAACAGCATGGTGGTTAATGGCGGATATTCCCCATCTCTGTGATACCAATCTGCTTCCTCCGGACAGTCAATGGACATGTCCGATGGACCGTGTCTTCTTCGACGCTTCCGTGATCTGGGGACTGGTCGGACCACGCAGGATGTTCGGAGATCTCGGAGAATACTCGAACGTGAACTGGTTCTTCCTCGGAGGTGCAGTTGCTCCTTTCATGGTCTGGTTAGCCGCCAAGGCCTTCCCGAATCAGACATGGATCTCGAAGATCCATATTCCTGTCCTGATGGGCGCTACGGCCATGATGCCGCCCGCAACAGCCGTGAATTTCACGAGCTGGATCGTTGTCGCGTTTATATTCGGCCACTTCGTGTATAAGTACCGTCGGGAATGGTGGAAGAAGTATAACTACGTTTTGTCCGGCGGTCTGGACGCTGGAACTGCGTTTATGACAATACTTCTGTTCTTGGCACTTCAACGTAGAGACGACATTGCGTTGAACTGGTGGGGAAACGCCGGCGAACGTGACATGTGTCCCTTTGCGTCTTGTCCCACCGCGAAAGGGGTTATCGTCAAAGGTTGTCCAGTCTTCTGATCATTCGGGAGAGAACTGAAGAAAGCAAAAAGGATTGCATTTTCTGTTATTAGTTTCTGGTTTTTCTTTTTGTGAAGTTTACAGGGCAAAGGGAGATTATTGCTTTTTCAGACATTCTCAGATAGTTTCTTTTCTCCTGTTATTTTTTTTTTAATCCATTCTCTTTCTCGTACTATGACACCATTGAACCAGATCCAATGCAAAGATTCAAGAATTCTGAGTTGCTGTAACTGCGAAAACTGTGATATAAAAAACCAACCAAAAGCTTGCTGGATCATCGTCAATGGCTGCTGTCCAGTGACTGGATAGTTAACAGATGCTTTATCCGATCTTAATATGCCCACATTTTCAAGATTTGATTCCGTAAACGAGTTAACAGAGCCGCAAAATGCCTTTTGCCACCATCACTTCATCAAATGTGAAGTGGCTCGTCTTCCGAGCCCCTTTCCTTTGAGCTGTGACCCAGCACCAGACTCTGCAAGAACCTTTAAGATTTATCGTAAGATGAGAGGGTCGAGAATATGGCGAATGGGTGGAAGAAGAGCGAGGTGCTTGGTTCGTCAGCTATCACCATTAACCGCCTTCCCAGGATACTCGCAAGAAAGAGACGGTGTCAGCCATTGTTGATCAAAGCCCCCTCTGCAAAAACTTCACAATGAACACTGATTTCATTTCCCACCATTTGTCAGCCAGAGATCCCACCATTGTACCAAGCAGCCCCATTTCATCTCCCATCTCTTCGTACTTCCAATGTAATGTCGAACTCTCCGCCTGACAAAACTAGGGTACAAAAGATGATACAGATCTAAACCTCCCACCAAACCCATTAATCAAAATTCGTACACCAATCGGATCGGGAATGTGTATGTACGTATAGACATTGAAGAAAGAGAGAAAATTTAGGAGCAACCAGGGAAGAACATCGTACCCATCATGAGCCAGTAAATGAGGAGGTGTGCCAGACGCAGAGGATAAGCTTCGAGACAAAAGAATGTCGACGAGGAGGGAGAGAGAGAGGGCTTTGTGTTGTGGGGACACATGCATTGTTGATATTTTCCATGGAAGATAAAAAAGAAGATGAGGGGATACCATGGGGAATCAACGGCAACACAAAAACAGCCACAAGTTCAGATTTTTATATTGAGAGAGATCAAAAGAATACACAACATAAAAAAGACACGATTTTTTCCATCTATGTCTCTTTCCCTCTTCCTTTTTCGTGTAATCAAACTCTGAGAAAAAAAAAAGATCTAAGAAAACCCATCAGGAGCTTCTTCACCAAAATGGCTTCACTCACTTCAATCGCCACGCCGTACGGTTGTTCTTCGAGAAACTCCAATACTCCATCTCCATCGCAGGTTTTCTGGGGAAAATCCGCCAGATTTTCTGGGTATAAGCCTTTGGATTCATCGCGACTGAGAATTCAAAACGCTTCAACGAAACCTGCGAAATCAGCAGGTACAACTCCATCAGCGGATTCAATGACAGAGTTCTTGACAATAGTCAGTTGGATTAACCTTTACTTGGGTTGTCTTCTTGTTTCCGGTCGCGTCTCTTGGAGGGATTAGCTGAAGTCGAGTGGAAACGGAAGAGAGAGGTTCTGCTGGAGAAACGGGTATGCATTTGAATCTAATGATCCTTACACAAAGATCACAATACATATTCTGTGGGGTATACTGGAAAGATGGGCACGGATTTGAATTGACACTGCAGTGAATGTGTTGCCCAAAGAAATCAGAAAGATGGGTTTTTGAAATCGAGAAAATTCAACGAATACGCCATAATCAAGGCTCAGTTTTGTTGTTGTCGATGTTATTATTGTTGAAGGTGAGAAGCGTGGATGTGAAAGAAGCTCTACGGCTTCAGAAAGAGAACAACTTTGTGATTCTCGATGTTCGGCCTGAGGCTGAGTTCAAGGAGGTGAGTGTTTTCTTTTTCTGATTCTTTTAACTGGTTGAGGTCCTTAAAGAGTGGATGAATGGTGTTGAATCATTCATTGGTTTAGGGCCATCCGGCTGGAGCTATCAATGTGGAGATGTACAGACTGATCAAAGAATGGACGCCATGGGACATAGCTCGACGACTAGGGTTCGCTTTCTTTGGCATCTTCTCCGGCACGGAAGAGAATCCCGAGTTTTTGCAGAGTAATAATACACATCGAACCATCTCCAATCCGACTTCATATTCAAAGTATTTGCCCGTTTTTCCGAAACTTTTGATCTCTGTTGCGCAGAGGTGGAAGCTAAACTCGAGAAAGATGCCAAGATTATAGTAGCTTGCTCGTCGGCAGGGACGATGAAACCGACCCAGAATCTCCCTGAAGGCCAGCAATCAAGGTATCGATCTACCTCTGCTGCCAAACCCTGAAACCGGCATGTTTTTTAGGACATGAAGGTGTTGTCTCCTTAGGACAGATTGAAACTTGTTGTCTGTGTAGGTCTCTCATAGCTGCGTATCTTCTGGTCCTTAATGGCTACAAGAACGTTTTCCACCTCGAAGGCGGATTCTACACATGGTTAAAACAGGATTTGCCCGTGGAATCCGAAGACGAACAGTAGTAATTACTCTTCACTGGAGTTTTCTTCTGTAAAGGGTTCGACTTTTTAAGACTACTAAGCTTTGATTGCAAGAGAATGGAGGGTTTTGTTGCCTTTTATTGCTTTAATGACTTCGAATTAGGGGTGGAAGTTAAAAACCCGATATCCGTTGGTGGATACCCATCTCATAGATATTTTCGTGCAAAATTATCGTTATACGATTGATGATCAATTCGGATAAACAAAAACTTGCAGGTTTTCACGAGTTTGGATATCCGCGAATACTCGAGTCTCGGGTATCTGAATCTCGTGAAGTTGAGACCGAGATATTTCAGCCATGGAATCTGGTAGAACCGTAGAAACGAAATCGAGATCGGATACCCAAAGGTAATCAACCCATACCCACCACTCTTTGAATTTGCTTTGGAGATGAAACATTAGTACCTGCAACTGCTACACCACTGGCAACAAGTACATTTGAACAAAAGAACATACAGAACACAAAGAAGTCGAGTTGCAAAACCATGAATGTCGGGGGAAAAAAAAGCAGAGCAACCGGGTCAGATGATAAACTACAAACTGGAGAACTTCACTCCAACCAAGTGAGATTTCTGGCAGCAGATCTTTCGAAGAAATTCGTAAAATTCGAGTTCACAAGTCTTAAAAGGCCTTTACAAGGTGTTGGAAAGATACCGTGAATCTTTTTTGTTGCTCGGGTTTTTTAACATCAGGATGATTCCTGCAGCCTGTACAACGTGATTTCTTGCTGCTTGAAGTATCGACGATCCTCTTCGTCAACCAGAACCAGATTCAGATAATACTTGACGCTGAATTTGTTGTTAATGTTCCGATGGGTAGGTGTCAAATCGTACGGACTCAAGAACAGTCTGATCGGTATCGACTCCCCTGCAAAAGCCGCTCACTCGGTTACTAAAACTAGCAAGAATTCAAGGAACAGGAACGAGTTCAGAACGTATAAAAACGTCGAGGTTTTACCTCTAACAGGCGCACCATCCATCAACTCGAATTTAGCCAGAGTCTCTGTCTCGACATGAGTATTAGCTCCTGCCCCTGTTGATTCACGCCGCCTTATCTCAAGATCCATATTCTTTATCTTGATTCTCACAAGGAGGAAATATATTTTCCCAAGAATAACGTCCTTCAGGTGATACCTGCATACAAGGGAAGGAATTAAACTGTTATTTTCTCCTAACAGGCTAATAGATAAGGCCATCAGTAAAAAGTTGATATTACAAAACAAAGATTTATCTTACTTGCTTTTATTGTACTCGAACTCGATGTGCAAGCAATCTTCGATTCCGACTTCCATCTGTATCATTTGAGCACGATCAGACCCGATTGAACCTCACTAGCGGTAACAATTAACTAAAGCATCAAACATAACTCGTAGACCCATAGGCATCTGTTATCTAGGAGTGGGCATGGGTCAGTACCCGAAAATTTAGAATATCTGGATCCATACCCGAAGGCTTTGGATAGCAATTGATATCAATGTTCGTATCCAAATGTTTTGGGTATCCAGACTACAAATACCCGATAAAATATTTGGGTATCGGTGATACCTGAACCCGAAAATTATTTTAGAAAACATATTTATAACAAAAAAAAATGCACTATGCAAGTTATCATGGGTCAGATACCAAAAACTTTTATGATAACTGGACCCACACCAGGAGTTAAAAGGATAAACATTGAATATTAACAAGGATATGTGTACAAGGGTACCGGCGAGTACTCGTCATCGATTTTCAATTGCTCGTATTCATACCCATAGGGTGGGTAATCAAATGAAAAAAACCTGGCCCTGCACTGGTGAAAGGCCAAGTAACCGAAAATCGGGTACTCGCATGTTGGTACCGCAGGTACCCGTTTTTTGGGTATTTATGCCCACCCCTAAGTGTTATCTGATTAACAGAAATCACCTTGATGCTGTTATTGATTGCAGGAGGTGGAGAATAGTTCCTGACCTGGTTCGGGACAAAACGAAAACAAGCAAATTAAACAAAACATCTTTGATGATACGAAACGGATAATTATCAATTACTACATGAACTAAATAGATGCATAATGTTCCTTAACAATGTCAAATGTCAAGAAATATTCATCTACAGGCGGTACCAGTAGATAATGATGTATATTATGTTAAATATAGGAGGTAGAAACAGGACTGGACCAAATCCATTACAAAACTATGATGTCAACCACTGTGATGTAACAGAGACATAATGAAAAACAAAGAAACATACCACAAAATCCTGGTATTCCACTATGCTTCCAGCATAACCACGTGTGACTGTTACTTTCAGGACATACCTGGAGAAAGCAAAGGAAGACATTACCAGAATTCACAATCAGGAACTCATAGTCAAAAACTGTTTCCATTCTGATGTCACGGAGAAGTGCTGTACTATTACCTTAGTCGCACATTCACACCGTTGTATGTCTCGTAAGGCATCTCGACAGTCGAAAACTCAAAAGGATACGTTTTTCGTTCATATATTTCTCCAGGCACATCAAGTTCACGTACTGTAAACAAGATGAACAAAAGCACAAATAAGATACAACAGATCCCATGTCATTTGATAGAATGGACCAATAATAATCAGAGCCAAAGAAAAAAAAAGAGCAAATCCGAAATCCTTTCCATCATAACCGCTAGAAACACGAATGTCTTTGCTATTGCGTGCCAAGTGTCAACTAATCAAGTGGAATGAAAAGAGAACTCTACTCACCCAAGGAAGTGAAGTCATAAAAGTTTCCTCTGTCAAAGTACATTTCTGTCGAAAACAGATATATCATCAATACGAATATATAGACAGGCGATATGATAAACTGATAACTCAATCCAAAAGACTATATTTCAGCAGACGTAGTATAAGTTAGGGATATTTGCATATAACCTATTTGACCGAGAAGCTCAACTTTTACACCATTGTGTTCAACCTTCTTCCCTTGAGCTGGTTCAATGCAAACCTATGAAAGAAGTTGAAGCCATATTATAACAAAGCATTACAACAACATAAAAAGAAATTCTTACCAGTCTAGGATTCCAAAGCTAGATTAGAAAAAAAAATGAAGTACCATCCCGGCAATAGTTTCTTGACTCTGGAAAAGTGGCACTATAACGGTTTGCCCGTTTTCTTTCTTCAAGGGCACCTAACGGAAATGCAGATCAAGGAAGAGAATAAGAAATCCCGAGACCTTGGCTCCATCACGATTGATGGATGATGGATCACACATGTTCAGGACAAGCAAGCATTTCAGAACAAGAAAAATATATTTCCACCAAGAAAAGATTGAAAGGCCTTACCTGTTTTCGGGTTTTCCCATCAGAAAAAGTGATGGAAATGTGACTTGCGGGCTTGAAGGCTCCAAGAATGTAATTCTGTGATATTAAACCCCAAAAAAAGTTATAAATTTTACTACAAAATCTCGACCAAGCAAGCAAATCTGTGCTTATAATCCAAACGAAGCAGATAAAGGCAATTACTTGGATGAGAACCAGTAAGAGAACTTACCATGATCAAAAGACTCGATCCCTATCAGAATCACCTGTTACAGAGAGGAAATCAGTCCGACGAAAGAAACAAAATCAGTGGCATTCCCAAATTTTCAAACATCAATGCGTAAGGTATAAGCTGAAGCTGATTCAGATTCTCGCATGACGCGGAGAAAAAGAGCTTGAGCTCACGATTCAGCTGCGATCAACGAAATTAGAAGTAAACCCTAATTTCGATTCTCGGAAAGAAACCTCAGAAAAGTTTGAATCAGATGTAATGCTGTAAAGAGGTTAGAAATAGGACTCGACAGGGATCAACAGGCGGTGAGATCAATCGAGACCCATAAACTCACATCGGATTGCACAATCGGGCAATTGCATACCTTCGAAACTGAAAACAAAGGCCTTGTTGAATCCCGGAGAGAGAACGAAAAAGCGACCGATTCCGAGGAGATTTTGACAGTTGGGTCGGAGAAGAGAAGAGACGATCGAGAGAACGAGGACCAAAAAAAGGGAAACCCCGAAAAAACGAGAGACCCAGTTAAAGCCGAACAAAGCCCACAAGAAACTGTAAGAGGTCCCCGAAATAGAGCTGGCTCACTTTCAGATTTTCAGTTAATATATCAAGACAGCATTATTCAACCAAATTAAAGTTCGAAACTTTTTTTCCAATTTTCTGAATTATCCAATCCTCTCTCCTCGTGAAAATAGATAAATTGATTAAAAAGATCGATGACCCATCTACCCAAAGGTGTCGAAGACGACAAAGATTGGAAGAAAAAAAAAGTTGTAAGAAGCTGAATCTAGAACACTGCTCAACTGAACAGGAGATTCAGTATCAAAAAGATTACATCACTTGATTTATTTGATAGCGTGGGCATCAAGGAAATGCCTCCGCCCGTTCAAAAGATTCATCCTTTCGTGTTCAGGGAAACAAAATTCATCTGGGGGATTCCTCGGATTCCCTCCACGAGTCCTGAGAATCTGACTGAAGGTTAATGAACTGAGACACTATAAGCTTGGAGAGACCACTTATGGCGGCTTGCACTTCGTCTGGATCCCTTTGGCTTCTCCATTCAGAGGCTTGCGAGCTCAGCCCAGAGTACTCTCCTGCAGCAACCTGTGTCTTCTTTGACGTAGCAAGAACCTTTTCCAAGTCCGACTGTAACAACGGCCGAGGAACCTGAAAGTATTTACAGCTCAAATCCTCAGATCTTGAATTCAATTCAGGTGGAAAGTAGCCTTTGTGATGCATGGTATCGTTTTACTCACCGAACAATGTTTCCCGTTTTTCTCCTCTCTTAGGAGTTCTCTGATGGGGAAGTAGGCTGCTTTCTTGCAGAGTTCGAAAATATCTGATCCCGTATAGCCTTCACATAACCTGGCTACGTAATCATAGTCGATATTGGGTTCGACCCTCTCTCCTTTCAGAGTCACTTTCAGAATTTCAGCTCTCTCACGGCGGTCAGGAAACCCGATTTCAAAGGCTTGAGGAAGACGCCTCAGTATTGCTTCATCAAGCTCTGACGGTCTGTTAGTTGCAGCAAGAACCATCACCCTTGCATTCTCTACAGAAAAACAAAACAATATTCACAAGTGTCAAATCCTTACAAGGCATATTTCAAAATTAGACACGATGAATAGAACTTACGGTCTGTGGTAAATCCATCCCACAATGCCATAAACTCGGTCTTCATGTTTGCCATTGCTTCATGATCTGTTGACCGACGCTGACCAAGAAAGCTGTCAACCTCGTCGATAAATATAATAGCGGGTTGGAGTTTGGAGGCCAAGCTAAACACAGCAGTAACTGAAGAACAGGACAACTCACATATTAGTAAGACCGTCAGCCAAACTCAGTCCATGAGGAAAATGTAAAAAAGAAATCGATAATTAAGTAAAAAAAGTTATCATTGGGTATAGAGAAGCTCAAAGTTTAACCATTTAAAGGAACTAAACATTTAAAGGAATCAAACCACACAAAATCAAATGTATTTGCCGAAAAAGATATAAGCTTACCAAGCTTCTGAGCATCTCCAAACCACTTGCTCATCAGGTTAGAAATCCTCACATTGATGAAAACAGCTCCTGATTCTTTTGCAATGGCTTTAGCAAGCATTGTCTTTCCAGTTCCAGGAGGCCCGTACAGCAAGACACCCTTTTGAGGGCCAAGAAGCTTTCCATGAGAAAACAGCTCAGGTCTCTTCAGAGGCAGAATCACAAGCTCATACAGAGCCTGTTTGATGGTTTCCAAGCCTCCAATAGAACCAAACTCTACATCAATGTCGTCCGGATTTATCACGTCACATGCTATTACATCCTGTTCACATTATCAGGGAACATATTCGCATTTAGCAGCGCTCACCTTCTGATTCATTGACGCACCATACAGAACAGATAAGACACATAACACGACATTGGAAATAGTGATTTTTAGACAATATTGAACAGAGAAGAATGTTCAAGAAGTTCTATTCTAATATCAAAGAAGCAGATTTTCAAACGGGGTAAACAAAGCTCCTATCACATTACTAATCGAATCGAAAAACAGAGTAAGCAAAGCTCCCATCAATCTCTGCCGAAGCAGAGAGCAAGGTGATCCTAAACAAATTTCAACCTAAAAATCCAAACTTATCAAGAAAACGAAAGCATTTGATAGAGAAAATACATACATGGTTACAACTCAAAAGAGAGAAGGAAAAAACAAGGTTATTCTTTTAGCGCCTTTCACGTATAAACATTGACATAACCTCAAATTGCATCAAATTCCCTCCAACCCACGACATGAACGCTTAAATCAAACCTCACCCAAATCCACTTCACACAAACGACCAATGGGTTTTGGAATGAAACCGACACAACTATAGAGACTGCCCTTTTGAAGTCTAAGAGAAACATATGAACACAAGATTGGATATACACAAACAATAAAAGACATGCCCTGATAACTTTAGAGTCACAGAAATCCGAGTTTCTAATTGAAAAACACCAAAACTACATACCTCGTAGGGATTGGTCTGGATAAGAGGACGACCCAGACGCTTGGCGATTTCCTTCTTGTGCTCGAGCGCCTTTTTAGCCGCCTCACGGTTCGGGTCGAGATGTCGGAGACCCGCGAACAGAACCAAGCAGCTTAGCGCCGCGCTCGCCGCGTAAAGTATCAACTCTTGCAAGAACTTGGTCTCCGAAGACGAACCCCCCATTCCTCTTCCCAGGCACAAAGAGTTGAGATTCGGACAGAACCCTTTTCTCTCGAGAAAAATCTCGGGAATTGAGGTTCAGAAACAACAGGCAAGAGAAGCGAACAGAAATCAAGACGATATCGTCGAACAGCAGCAGGTCGTGTGGACAGCGAAAGGGTTTTAATTCAGGAAGAGCTTGTGGAATTTGGATCGAGGAAAGAAGAAGAAGAAAGTTCTTCCGTGGGAATTACGAAAACAGCCTTGATGGCACCGTCGTAATTTCGAGAATTTTCTCCAGGCATTACCGGTAATTAGATAGGCCCAGAAGGCCTATTATCTTGTGAGCCTCAAGGTTTAGATGTCAAAAGCTCAAATGACCATGGTCCAGCATATTTACATTTTCATGGTACCACATATTTTTTTTAATCATTTTCATGGTACCATATGAAAACCACATATATTTATTTATCACTCTAACATCCTTTTTTTACGTAATCGTGAATCTTTTCATTAAAATGGACGTTATATTTACATATCGGTTAGGATATGAATAATCAAACAAAGAAATATTCAAATATATTTTAATCGAATTTAGATATAGAAAATCGAACTGACCTAAACGGAATCATATATTTTAATATATAATTATACTTTCTGATTATAATCTATTTGAATTTGGATTATTTTGACTGGAACGAATAGAGGGTCAAGGATATATATAATATATAGCATATTCGAGTAAAAATACATATTAAACCGCAATAAGTCAAACCAACATTAAATTATTACTATAATTGTTGTTTGAAAAAGACCATTTGTGTGATTCATGTTTCTGTCGTCTCATGGTTATGAATCATGTTGGAAAATTTATGGTACATAAATACCAATACAATTAACTGTGTAACATAAATAATAGCTAATAATTTATACTTTAAGCTTTTGTTCCTTCTAATTTTTATGCGAGATCAAATATCCTCTTGAAATTGAAATTAAAAAAATAAAAAAAATCTCTTAATTTTTTAATATTTTGTTATTTAAAAGAATTTTAAATTATTATTTTATCATAAAAATATTTTTAGTTAAAATTAAAATACAAACTAATAAATATAATATTCTTTCGACTAATAAAAATATTAATATTCTATTTAAATGCATGGTTAATTGAATTGTTATGTAGAGAAAAAGTTCCGGGCTGCTTTTTTTTTTTAAAAAATTTTTTATGAAAATAAATTTAGAATAAAAAACGAAAAAATTCCTGAAAAATTATCTCGTTATAAATTAACTATCATAGAACTTTTTCCGTTTCTAAATTTATAAAAAAAAACTTTTAATCTTTCAGAAAAATGAGATTTTAAATGTCTACTGATTTCCTTATAATAGAAAACAACCGGTCAAGTTATCTCATTATATTAGTCAGCCAGTTAAATTAAAATAATATATATATATATGTATGTATGTATGTATGTATGTATATTGTATATATATTTATACGTATGTATACATTTGTATATGTACATAAATATATACACATTATATACATATACATATATATTTGTAATATATATATATATGTGTACGTATGTGTATATATATGTAATTGTATTTATATATGTATGTATACATATAAATATATATACATATTATATATATATGTATACATTCGACGAATCCGCATTTAACTTTGAAAATTTGGTTGGATTTTTGGACGATTGGAAATTTATTATCAGATTTTCCGTCATAAAAATAAAAATAAGGGTAAATTCCCTCAAAAATCCGGAATTTGCTAAAAAAATATACAAATAAACCTTCAACTTATAAACATATCATTTAAACCCAAAACTTTCTAACATCTAACTGAATAAAACCTTGACCTTACAAATTGTTACTCTAATAACTCGTTGATTTATTTGACCACAATTTTAGAGAAATTAGAAATCCACGTTGGCCTAGAAAATTGATGTCAGTGTATCCATATAACCAACTTTAAATGAATTTTTACCACATCAGTATTTTTTGGATTAAAATTTAATCCGATTTGAGAATAAATAAAATCAGTTTTTTGGACCAACATAACATAATATAATCAGATTAAAGGTTTATTCAGTTAAAATTGGATACATAGACACGTTGACATCAGCTTTCCGAGTTAACGTGGATTTTCAATCGTTTGAAATTGTGGTCAAATAAGTCTACGGATTATTAAAGTAACAATTTGGAAGTTGGAAGTTTTATTTAGTTATATGTAATAAATTTGGGGTTGGGGTTAGGGGTTTGAATCTCAAATTAAAGTTTTATTTATATATTTTTTTTGCCAAAATTTTTAAAATAATAAATATTTAGCATTGGACAACAACCAATCACCATGCAATCTCGGAGGCTACTTTGGTCATTTCGCTCCAAAGTTGGACTGTTTTTAAGCACGGGGAGGAATGAACCCCGTTTTTCTCATTCATCTCTGCCAAATCGTGAATCGGGCATTGAAGATATCGAGATTCTAAAGGCGGAGCGAGAAAAAGGTTCCTTTTTTTTTTTCCTTGAGAAGTCGTACAGTTTTTGTATCTCTTTCATTTCCGATCTGTCCTTTTGGTTCGAATCTGTTCTCTTTCGTGTCTGGGTTTCGTGGATTCAGATGGGTTTTGTCTGGATCGAGCTGTTGATTTGGCTTTGATTTTGATCTTTGTTTGCAGCTGAGAAGAAATGGCTTCGGATGAGAAGAAGGTTCTGACTTTCGATGAAGTTTCTAACCACAACAAAACCAAGGATTGTTGGCTTATAATCTCCGGCAAGGTTAGATCTTCTCTCTTCGTTTGAAGAATTTCTTCCTCGAATCGATTTTCACAAGGGGTTGTCTGAAATTAGTTTTGTCGGCTGCTCCGCTACTGCCACTTCGCTATTTAACTTCTGTAAGCTTTTCGATGAGAGTAGTGGAAACGATGGCAAATCTTCCATAGTTAAGAGAAGAGATTAAGCATCTCTATATTAGCCTACTTCACGTTGATCCCACTTAGTAACCGTGAGGTTATTGTTTGTGTCCGATGATTTACTCTGTATATGACTGAGATTCGTGGTTAGTTGCTGTCGTGAATCGAATTGGGACTGAAACAGAGGATTGAGTGTTTGTTCTTGAACCCATTCCAGGTTTACGATGTGACCCCCTTCATGGATGATCACCCAGGAGGTGACGAAGTCTTACTGTCATCAACAGGTGTGAAAAGATCAGTTTGTTTTTGTACTTTTGAGATTCGTTTTCTGCGTTTTGTTTTGATCGCTTCAAATAACTTTCGTATCGTTTCCCCGGGGATGTTTTCTGTAGGGAAGGATGCTACTAACGATTTTGAAGATGTCGGCCACAGCGACACTGCAAGGGATATGATGAAGCAATACTACATTGGGGAAATCGATTCATCGACCGTGCCCGCGAAACGAACTTACGTTCCGCCACAGCAAGCGGCGTACAATCAAGATAAGACCCAAGATTTCGTGATCAAGATCCTGCAGTTTCTGGTTCCTATCTTGATCTTGGGGCTGGCCCTAGTCGTTCGCCAATACACCAAGAAAGAGTAAGGCTTTCAAGCAAAATTATGGTATCTCCTTGCCTCTGCATTTTGGCTTTCGGGATATGAAATGGTTGAAGAAGAACGTTATACTGGTACTTTCCATGTTGTCCTAGATTCTTGCTTCATGTTTTCGCCTAGACCTTGCTGATTCTTGTCAAATCATGAATGACGATAATACATTGTTAGCTCCGTTATCACCTATCTGAATAAATGAGACAGACATCTGCAGTATTTTTTTTGGTGGTTTTCTTGAACAGATTGAATCTTTGGTTGGGGATAAAAGTTCAAATTGGTTATCAGAAACATATGATACATTGAAAGAGATTGGATAGTGTACTGTTGTATTCTCCATGGTTTTGAAGGAAAATAAAGCGAAACAAAAAGAGGAACAAGCCTGGGAAAGGCCAGACAAAGTCTGAGCAGAGGTCTTGTTTGGTAAGAACCCACAGAGACAACAACCTTAACCTTTCTTGGATCTTGTCTCTGTGATGGCAAAGACTTTATGAATGTATATACATTGCTGCTTTTTTTCCCGGAGTTCGATGGAACTGGATTCTTTAGGAACAGACTCCTTTTCTGACTTTGATTACAGTTCCTGCTCGCAAAGATTTATGACCGTGAAGGTGAATAAGAAGGATCTCTTCATCGGTTTCTGCATTGTGATTCATGACCATGTTCATGTCTCAGCAGATTTTATCGGGTCTGGAAAATGTTTTGAATCATCCTGCGTGGTGATTCTGCAGCTGCATTCTCCAACTGAAGCTGTTCATCCAAACTCAATCTCCATCCCAAGGCACCCAAGTTGTCTTCTACCTGTTTCACTGTCTTGATTCCCGGTATCGGAACTGTCCCCTTGCATATGCACCAGTTTATCGCAACCTGCAAAAGTTTTCCGTCGTAAAAAAAAAAATCCTGCCTTTCGTGACATCAAAAGTCTCGCAGTTTTTACTGTTACCTGTGGCATAGTTTTCTCTCGTCTCTCTGCGATTTCCTTCAGAGCTATCAACAGAGGCTCCAGTCCCGGAAGAATTCGCCGAAACAGGAAGGCCCTGTCATGTTTTCAAGAACACTTAACAAGCTGTTTCATATTCCATCTAGATTCGGCTATAGTACAGAGTATGACAGGGCAAGAAAACCCGAATTTCGGGTATCCGAGCATTATATGAGATGGGATAAGGTTATAGTGTAAAAAAAACCCGAAAATCGTTATATGAGATGAGTTCAGGTAATCTGAAAATCTTTCAGATAACCGATCTGTGTCCAAAGGATTCAAGAGAAAGCAAAAATACTGACCGCGGGCCAGACGGAAGTTTAGAAGGGGAGTATTTCCCAGAAAGCATTCCAAGACCGAGAGGGCTGTAAGAGATCAGACGGATCCCTAGCTCGTCGCATATGTTCTTGATCTCTTGCTGCTCTTTCCCCATGCTTATCAACGAGAACTGCACCTGGAAAATCAAAAGGTGTCTCGCTCTTTTTCTGGATTATCTCGTTTTCGATAAGATCATGAATCCGGTGAAAAGTACCTGAGCGGAGCAAAGGGGAACGCCTCGAGCCTTGAGGTAATCGTGAATCTTCACAAGCTGTTTCGGTCCGTAGTTGCTAACTCCAACGGCTCGAACTAAGCCCTACCGGTCAAGTGTTCACAAACTTCAAATAGCAATATAGCCCATGAATAATACAAAGATCAAGCCATTTTCAATCTGTTTTTTTTTTTTAATTTGCTTCAGAAGAATTCAGATTCATTGTAACCTTCTCGTACATTGCCACTAAACCATCCCAAAGTGCAAGCTCTTGTGGGGGAGCATAGTTTGCAGTTGACCAATGGAGCTGTCCGATCCCGAGTTTGTCTATCTGAAGCCTGTCCAGAGAGGACCTGGCATCAAAAAAGACCATGGATGTCAGCCGCCATGGATGTGCAGAAGGAAGAAATCACAACAGGAGAAAGTCATTGACCTGCAAGCGTTTACAAACTGACTCGATGTCAGCCGCCATGGATATGCAGCAAACTTTGTAGCGATCACTATGTCGTTTTGTCTCGGAGCTTTGTCTGAAATGAAAGACGAGTAGGAGGGTGTAAACTAAAGCACGAATGAACAGAAATTCCATGGCCCTTGAGATAATGGAACAAGTCCGAGAAAGAAAGGCTGCCATTCTCAGACCAAACTAAGAAACAGATTCTCGTATCGATCAGAGGGCATGTCTCATGGCAATGAGGCCTCAACCACTGAATCAAGAGTGAAGAAAACAGACCCTGAAATTCTCTGATGAATTTTCCGAGAAGCTTCTCGCTCTGGCCATTAAGCCTACCGGTCCCATAAGAATCTGCAGTATCGAACAGATTGATGCCGTTTTCCACGGCCAAGTCGAAAGCTTGCTGAAGCTCGGCGTCCATGGAGGGTTGATAACCCCAAAGAAGCTGATTCCCCCATGCCCATGTCCCAAATCCCATCGGAGATACGCTCAGTGGACCCATCTTCACCTGCTCAACTCATCCATGGGGCATCAAAGCTTCAACTTTAGGTCAACAGACGCAGCTACACACGCATATATATACACATTACCTTCTGCCATGGCCAGAAAGGAGGGAGCTTGAGAGGTTTGAAGATGAATGGGCTTGAAGAATTGCTCGAGCAGCTTATCTGGATGAGCGTGTTCGTGGCCGACAACGTGAAAGCCATTGAAGAAACCAGAAGGTTGTTCAGTATTCTGCCTTTCCTGTCTTGTATGTGGCCCAAAAAAGTTTGCTACTTTTCTCGTTTCTCCTTTTCCTGGATAAGAGAATAGTATCAATTCGTTGCACTGTTCAAATAAATACTAAATCAAATATCCAGTAATCATAAGTTTATCATCGATTTTGCTATGGGCAGATCAAAAGATTTTTTAAATTTTATTTTTCTCATTCCGATTCTAACATTATTTTTGAAAACTTTATTTGTATAAAAGCATTATTTCCAATATTTCTAACTCTAACGGGTTGAATGATCAAGTTTTTATTTTGAGTTTTTAGTTAGAATGATCAAGTTTTTATTTTTAGTTTTTAGTTTTTATCTTGTTGGTTTTTGTCTTTCATAGTTTTTAAAAAATTTGATTGATAAAAATAATATTTTAATTTTTGGTTGTACATTTTATACTTCAAAATTACAAAAACAGTATATATACCAAGGGACCATTTGGGTTATTAACCGAATAATTGAGTCGAACCGAACTGAATAAGATATAACCGTATCCGAAACGAATCCGACATCAAAATCGAACGGTTATGATTTCTCTAAACTCGAAAAAACCGAAACCGAACCGAAAAAAATAATCGAAAAATCTAACAAATTCTTTGAAAAAAATGAACTTTATACCAAAATCGAACCGAATCCAAAACGAAAAATAATCGAACCGAACCGAATTGAAGTTTATACAAAAACCGAATGGTTATAGTTTTCTATAATCGGAATAACCGAACCCGAATATAACCGAATCGAAATCCGAAAATGACCGTCCCTAATATATAATACATATATACTATAGATATAAAATGATTACAATATAATTATAATATATATATATATTTTAAACAATAAAATTTTAAAAATATATCTCAAATTTGTTTTTTATTAAAAAAATTAAAACATGAATTGTGGTAAAAATGATAACAATCTTATCTTTATATAGATGTCGTGTGAAATTAGTGTAAAATAATGGATATTTTTGTTTTTAGAGTAATTTGTATAATTATTTTTAATAAAATAATCTATTAACAAATCAATTTTTAAAAAAAATAATTAAATATTAAAATTTTGATCGGAGTTTTTCTAGGTTTTTAACAAACAAAAAAATCGAAAAACTCCACCCAATCAAATCAAGGTCTAAATCTATATAGCAGCCACTACTTTGGTTGTGTGGGAGGCCGTGGATTCAAATGTTTTCTTCGAAGAAAGGAATATACCGAAATTCCGACACGACGATTTCATATCCTACACACATTGCTATTGAAACAAAAAAAAAAAAAAAAAAAGAACGCATTAGCAAATTATATATTTTTTTTCGGTGCCTCCTCGTATCAAGTTACCAACCAAAGGGAATCGCAATATGAAATATTTGTTTCGGTTTCTTATTTTAACTATCAAAATTCTCTCGTAACAACCTCTTCGATCAGATACAACACGAGTGCGAGAAAAGATCCGTTTTGCATCGAAAAAAAACCGGGAAGTGAGCGGTTGTTCATTTTATGAGCGACCAGCTCTTCAAAAAAAAAAAAAAAAAAAAAAAAAGAACGCATTAGCAAATTATATATTTTTTTTCGGTGCCTCCTCGTATCAAGTTACCAACCAAAGGGAATCGCAATATGAAATATTTGTTTCGGTTTCTTATTTTAACTATAAAATCGTGCAAAAACAAAATTCTCAAATATATATAATCATTCTGTAGATATATAATGTTATATTTTTTATATTAGATTAAAGTATTTATAAATCTTATATATATCTGGACTATAGAAAATATAAACCCCAAATTCTTTAGCTGGGTCCATAAAACCACTTGACGTGTGCACGAACTGATTCCATTTGGGCCCACGCGTGCCTACGTGGCATAAGCCCTCACCGCTCGTCCTCGGGGCAAATTCAATCTCCGTCATCGTTTCCGGAATCTACCCGAGAAATAAACCAGACTATATTACAAAATGTTCTTCGAAGTGTTTGCATAAATAATCGATAACTAGTTTTAAATAATTAGAAAATATTAAAAATTATATATTATTATAATTTATGAAAGAGAATAACTTGTTTATTATTCTACCTTTTTATTTGTTTAAAATAAACCTAGACAATGCGCGTTAAGGAAACCCCAGAAGTCTCCTGTAAAAACCTGAACCTCCATTGTCACTGCATATATATACACACACGCATATATATACATCCATACACGCACATATCGTCCTCAATAATATTGTTTTTTTCAATACATATGCGAAGGATATCATGAGCAACGTCCCCAGATCTCTCACCGACTCATCCTCCTCCGTCGATCCCTGGCCTTTCTCTGCCTCCTCCGTCTTCTAATCTCAGGAAAACCCGCCAAAACTCGCCGGAAAATAACTTTCCGACCATCTTGTTTTCCACTTCGCCGGAGATTCAATGGGCGTCGGACACCAGAAACACCAGCATGACAACAACCAAGACCAGATGATCTTCAAGTTTCATTTCCACATGCCACATCTGCACTTCCATCATCATCATCATCATCATCGTCGTCATGTTCCGAGAGGGTTTGTGACGATATTGGTGGGGCATGAGGATGAAGAAGAGCTTCAGAGATTTGTGATTCCGGTGATGTATGTGAACCATCCTCTATTCTTGAGGCTGTTGAATGAAACAGAGGAAGTGCACGGATTCGATCACGACGGTCCGATCACAATCCCTTGCCACGTGGAGGAATTCCGACATGCTCACGGCATCATCGAAGAAGAAGTACTCGCCGCTGTTACAGCCACAACCACCATTTCATGTGTTTCAATTCGAGGTTTAACTAAATAGCATCTGATTTGATAATTCGTTTTGGTTTGATGACGATGATGATGAATATAGAAAATTGTTGATTCGACTTTTCATATCCGATGAAATTGGAATGGAATGTGAATATGGTTCTAATCAAATGTGAACGCGTCGGTCCACGTGGGTTTGCGTCTCTCTCTTTTTTTTCCCTGTCATTTTGCTATGAGAATTTGCTTTCTGGGCCAAGTGGAATCGAATATAATAATATTTACACTTACATTAAAACATGCTATTATGAGTTATCAAAACAAATACCGGTATATATATATTTTATAATAATAAACTAAATGAACAATTACCGGTATTATTGACTCGTGAGGATTGTTTCTCAAACCGAAGTTCAAAACATTATTTTTTTTTGAAAATGTGAATCATATTATATATAATAATTTACAAAAAGGTAATCGTCCGTAAATCTACAAAAATTGATCTATGAAATGTTAGGAGGATCTCTCGAGATAATACCAATCTTGTAGAGGCGATGATACAGAACTTTGACTCCGGATGAAACAGATTGATATTTTTTGCATTAAACTCGTATTTAACATGCCATATCCCACCAGGAATATTTATATACAAAACAATGGTGCTATTCATTACAAGAACGCAGTGTTTTCATATTCATCAGAGAGATGGTGAACTTCATTTTCTCGTCCAATTCCAAAATTTGTTGGATGGATATTTTGATTCGTTTTAATGATATTTATATATAAAAAAAAACATGGACACATCAAAATCACATAGAAATACGCCACTACATTATATGGGCCTGGGTCGAATATGATTAGGCTTATTAGGCCTCCAACTGAAATATCATTTGACCACGGCATACAAATTGATAAATTTAGGTTTTATAAAATAAAATTCTCGCATTTTTTATCATGAGATTAGCTTATCCAAGCTATTTATTTTTTTAAATGTCTTGTATGATGCAATGCATCTACCGAAACGGCGTAGTTTTGTTGGCGAATAAAATCCGAGTCGCAGTGAAATTTCGTCGGGATGGCGAGAGGAGGAGATGGGGTACGTGTTGAGGGTGAGGTTGTCGTCTTTCTTCGCCGGAGCTGCGATGGCGTCGTTTATCGGACTCTCCGTCCTCTACAATGACTTCAAAGTCGCTCACGATTCCATCTCTCACCAGGTTTTCCCCTACCATTCTCCTTCTGTTATGCTTTCGCTCTTCTATTCCATTTCATTCATCGTTTCCGACGTTCCCATCGCCTAATCAGTCGAACAATTGCGATGTTCCCATTCTCCTCGCTGTTGTATTCCATTCATCGTTTTCAATGGGTCCTGCTCGAGATCCAGACCCACCAATCATTCGTCGGACCTTGCCTTCCAATGCCATCTCATCCCATGTTTCCTGTAATGTTATATCCAGCATGATGGTATGGGATAAGGATATGGTCGCTGATTTAAGCTGGGGTATTTCTGTTTATGCAGGTGAAATCGCTTCACGATTCTCTAGATAGAAGGATCTCTGCCCTGGAAAGTTTTAAACAAACTGAAACCCCGTAACATGCCGAGGCAATTGATTAGCGTTTCTTTGATGTTCTAATTGTGACGATGTTTTGGTATACTTTTTGCTTTGAGAGCAGCTTGAAAACCTCTGTGGATCACAAACAATGAAGCCAAGGCAATTTGTTTGACCCCCAGTTTCGACTTACTCCGTAGAATTGAAGTTTTTATCCCATGATCATTGTTTTTTATGTTTCCCTGTGAATGTGATTCCGTTCTTTTGGCTTTCACTAATGTTGTCTGTTTCAGACATCGAGGGAATGCGCTGTATAATCATGTTCAAGTTGTGCTTGGAAGATCGAAACAGAAGATGATGTTTGCTCACCTTGCCTATACAGAATCTAGTGCCTACCCTATAGTTTCATCAGAGACCTGAGCACATCTCTCATGGACGGTCTTGACTCGGCTGTTTGCTCTGTGCATTGAAGCGCCAATTCCAAGAGGCCGAGTGCCTTTTCTTGTTCAACACCGACCCAATGACTGATCTCTTTGTCGAAAAAGCCTATGGGTTCTTCGTCTTCAAGCAGGTTTAGTTTTGTCCATGAGACTATATCTAGACCTTCTTCGAAGCTAGGATCTACAGGCAGCTTTCTGCACAGAAGCTCGAGCAGGATGACACCATAGCTATAAACATCGCATTTCTCTGTCAAATATGTTGAGTAAGCATTCTCTGCATTTGAAACACAGATATACGGAGTCATGCTTCTGATTCTTAAGTTTTGTCAGATACCGCAGATTGGTTCTGAGAAGAGAGATTTACTAACCTGGTGCTATGTAACCGAGGGTGCCCACTATAACTGATCTTGCCGAGCTTGTCTCGTCTGATTGATGAACCAATCTTGCTGTCCCGAAATCTCCAATCTTGGGTTCGAATTCAGAATCCAACAGAATGTTGTCTGACTTGACATCCCTGTGGATAATTTGAGGCACACAGTCATGGTGAAGATAGGCAAGACCATTGGCTATACCGAGAGCGATACGGTATCTGATCCTCCAGTCCAGAGAAATGGGTGGTTCACTTCTGTGCAATGCATTGAAGAGAGTTCCTCGAGGCATGTACTCTGTCAGGATGAAACCAAACCCGTCTTTTATGCAATACCCTGTCATTCTTACAACATTTCGGTGCTTGACAAGGCTCAGAGTTCTCTTCTCAACGTCAAAATCTGCCTCGGATAGATTCACCTTCTTGACCGCCCAATTTTTCCGGGACTTGGTTGATTCTGTCCTGTATACTGTCCCGTGCTTGCCTCTCCCGATCACGTACTTGTCACTCCATCCTTCGGTAGCTCTCATGAGGTCTTCAAGCGTCATATCATCTGGCAAATCTTCGGTTTTAGATTGGCAATCAACCGGAAGATGAAGATTATAGTAGCGGTTTCCTTTGAGATGCCTGGAAACCAGAATGTAAAGGACAACACAAAGTACACAGACAGAAACACCAAGACCAATTAAACCAGCCAGGAGGTTTCTTGTCTTGTTGCCACGTTTGTGGAGTGATTCACAATCTCCAGCTTTATTACCCAACAAGCAAAGTTCAGGGTTCCCAAAGAAACACCCTGGATGTCTGGCTGCTATCCTAGTCCAGATCAATGGAAGTCCGCCACTTAAGTGATTGGATGAGACATTGGCATATTCCAGAGATACCATATTGTTCATCTCTTCTGGTATCTTACCACGAAGGTTGTTTCTCGAGAGATCTAGAATCTGAAGCTTGTTCATTTTGCCAAGACAAGGTGGGATTTCGCCAGATAACCTGTTGTTGCTCAGGTTAAGAACCAGACTGAAATGTTGAAGTTCACTCAGGCTGCAAGGTATAGGACCCTCGAACATGTTGTCTCCAAGCTGCAGCTCGATCAAATTTTCTAGGGAAGCAAAAGTGTCAGGCAGCACGCCTCGAAGCCTGTTTTCTTGAAGGAAAAGGCTTTGCAGCTTTCCGAAAGATGTTAGAATCTCTGGAGGAATGCTTCCGGAGAGACAGTTCTTACTGAGATCGAGATCAATTACCATTGCACATCGGCTCAGTTCAGATGGAAGTTCTCCTGTCAGTCTATTAGAAGAAAGTCTCAGAACTTGGAGATTCACCAGCTGTCCAAATTCATGGGGTATTGGTCCGGAGAACTTGTTTCTTGATAGATCCAGCATTGACAGGTTACGCCAATGACCAAAAGCTGATGGCAACAGTCCTCCCAGCAAATTTCCTCCAAGGTTCAATGTCTCAATTCCAGATTCCTTGCCCAGGTTCTCAGATATGTTCCCTTGCAAAAGATTATTGCTGAGTATCACTCTCCTGAGAGATGGGCATTCAGCAATCTCGGCTGGAAAACTGCCATTGAATCTGTTATCCCCGAGAACCAAGACTGAGAGCCTGTTACCGGAGCATAAACCAGAAGGAATCGGTCCACAAAGGCTATTACTGGAAAGATCCAACTTTTCCAGTCGAGGAGAATCCTTTCCAAGACTTGAGGGTAATGCTCCGGAGAGATTATTGTGAGCCAGTGAAAGAAACCTAAGTTTTTTCAAAAGGGTCACTCCATATGGTACTGTTCCAGTCAAACTGTTATTGTAAAGAGCCAACTGCTCAATACCTGTCATATTACCAATCTCTGCGGGTATCGAGCCTCTTATCCGATTGTTGAACAAGAGCAGAACCCGAAGCTGTTCAAGTTTCCCGATCTCTCGGGGAATGCTTCCTCCAATGTAATTGTTCTGAAGCCTCAGTTCAACCAGAGAACTACAGTTTCCAAGTTCACGAGGCAACGAACCGGTTAGCATGTTATCGAACAGGAGCAGATAGTTCAAGGCCACGAGTTCTCCTACTGTCCTAGGAATCTCACCTGTCAGTTTATTACTCGAAAGAGCAACAACCGAAAGCTGATGAGATTGAGAAATCCTGTCCGGAATACTTCCATTGAGCTTGTTCCCTGACAGAACAAGCTCCTCGAGATTCTCAAGATCCCACAGAGTATCTGGAATTGAACCTTCAAGTCTGTTCCCGTCAAGATATAGCAACTGCAGATTCCAAAGACCTTTAAACATCTCTGCTGGGATTTGTCCTCCTATGCCATTACCAGAAGCTATGAAGCTTGTAAGATTACGACAATTCGAGAGTGTAACAGGTAATGTCCCGACAAGCTGATTCTCATGAACCCAGAGATCAAGAAGCTGGCAAGAAGGAGGGAAACCTGGCAAAGAGCCGGTGAGATTGTTCGTGTTCAAGAACAAATGCTTCAGCTTGGGCAGAGACAACACTTCGACTGGAATGTCCCCAGTGAGAAAATTATCGTACAGACCGAGATACTCGAGGTTGGTGCAGGAACTCACCTCACGAGGAATCTCTCCGGAAAGCGAGTTGCGACCGAAATCAAGGGTTGAGATCCGATCAGAAAGAAAAATCTCAGCTGGGACCGAACCCTGAAAGCGATTGTCGTTCAACCGAATGACAGTGAGTTTGCTGCAGGTGGGGAGCTGACGAGGGACAGGACCAGTGAAACCATTGCCGCTGAGATCGAGCGAGAACAAGCTGTCGTGGAGACAGAGATAAGGGAAGGAATCGGTGAGGAAACCGACGAGACCCAATCCCGAGAGGTTTAGGGATTTGACAGTGAGACCGTTTGAGAAGCAAGAAACGCCGTACCAGTGGCAAGGTGAAGAAGAAGAAGATGAGGTTTGGGATTGCTGCTTCCATGGAAGAAGCTCTTGAGATTGGAGTGGGAGGCTATGGAAGAACTGAAGAAGGTAAGAAGCGGACAATGGTAATGAAATGACAGAACTTGACATCAAGAAGATGGTGAAGATACATGACAAGAGAAGACGATGGAAGAACATGACTATATGGCGACCGACCCTCAATCACACTCCCATATACAGATGACAAACTAAATGGGTTAATAAAAAGGCGCAATATTTTTTTTTTTAAAAAAAAAATCCTAATTTCAAGAAGGGCATGCATTTGGACGTGTGTGCGCCTTTCTGTGGTGAGAACGTGAGCGAACAATGAAGTCGGTCGCCATTTGCCGGAGGGATCACGTGAGAGGCCCAATAAGTACAAAGAACAAATAAAGAATAGTTCATTTGGATAATAAAATGGGCTTATAATTGGAATAAAGGCCCAATTCTATATTTGGACTCCTTTCCCCATATTTAAAACGTTTGGATTCCTCTGGTTCCTATTTAGTTTAATATAATATTATCTCGAAATAAAAATTGAATATAATATAATTATATTTAAATCCAGTAAAACAATTAAATTACCAAAATTCAAAAAATATCAAAATTAAACACTTTTTTTAAAAATAAAAGTTAATTATAAATAATAGAATTAAAATCTAATAATTGTGTAATAGTACAAGTGTTTCGATTCAAACAATCGGGAAAGTAAAGTGATGTAAGCCCATGTTGTAAGCACGTGGTGCGAGAAAGAGGACAGATTCCCATTGATGATTTATCTTATTATTATTATTATTATCATAAAAAAGATGGCAATAATTAGAGAGTGTCGAATGTCTCCTTGGCGGTGGTAAGCTTCGTTATCACCCGACACGTCCCTCAGCACCTCCCACCACTCTTTTTGTTTTTTTATAAAAAAATAACTATTCGTATATATATTTATTCTTTTTTTTTTGGTAAAATGTATATATATTATACATTTTTTATGAAATATATATATTATACATTTATTCTTTGTATCTAACACAAATCTATATATATAAAAACTCAATAACAAAATCGGCCGTTGTAATTAGGTGGCAAGTGTAGACCCACAATTTATGCAATAAATGATGATATAGTTTTGGAGGTCCGTATATAAATTATTTAGTTTTAAACAGTTACGAATGATGTTTTTAAGATTTAAATTATATTTTATACGTTTTTAGAGTAAAAATAATTCACATAATCTACATGAAAATACAATATGGATGAATCAAATTCGTACTTCTTTTTCGATTTTATTTAATTTGAGAAAGTGAATAAAAAAGATTCCTTAGAATGATATAAGGAGAAGGGGGGAAATGGAGCATCAATTTTGCATGGCAAAACTGAAAAAATTAAAAAGGACTAAGAAAGTGAAAGGACAAGTGGGTAATGTTTTTTTTATTATTATTATTACACAGAAGAGAAAAAGAGAAGACAAGAAAGTGTCACCATCACCTTTTTGTAGTGTATTTTTGTCGCCTAGTGGACCGTAATTTTCTTGGCTTTGCATGGCTCGTGGATATATATATATATATATATATATATATATATATATCCGAATATTGGATATTCAAAAATAGGCTATTAGAATATCATCGAGGCAAAATCAGATTTGATGAGAGAAATTAATCATGTAAGGCCATCAACTTGCTTCCCGTTCCTTTGGAGTTCCATATCCAAACACAATACAATATATATATATATATATATATATATATATATATATAATGTATGTAGAGAATATACGAAATTTAA